CGGCGGGTGCGGCGACATCTTGCGCCTTCTGCTGCTGCAGCTGCGGGAGGACGGCCAGCTGGGAAAGGTGAGTCGCCAAGCAGATGAACAGTGCTCATGTTGGTGCTGACGAGGTGCTCATCAACAATCTTTCTCTCCAGGTTGACGACGCCATCGCCGTTCCTGACGCCCCTGCAGCGCCTTACGTGGGGCCGCCTCTCAGCTCTACCCTTAAGATAGCTGACAAACACCTCGACAATGGTCGTCTAAAAGTGGCTGACATTCTTCGAGGTGTCCTGGAGCAATGGTCCTTTCCTCGCAGGCTGAAGAACTTACATGGCGGTGGCTCTGAGGACCTGCTGCAGGTTCTGGGGCCACACCTCGAGGAGCTGGAGGCCTCGTACACTTGGGAGGCTCAGCCCAGGGCCATGGAGGAGGTGCTGAAGATGTCGGGACTCAAAAGACTAAATGTTAAATGCGCTTGGAATGCTGACCACCCGGACCTACCGTTGCAGTTAGAAGAGCTCACTGTGTATCACATGAGTGAGAATCAGCTGCGCTGTGTAGAACGCATGCCCAGGCTGTGCAGCTTGTTTGTGTTACATTACTGTGGTCCGAATCTGACTTTTCCACCATCGCAGCATGGCAGGCTGCTTTGGCTTCACGTGGCCATTAATGCTGACCACAAGCCCACAATGCTCTCCCTTATTCGCGCCCATGCCTCATCTCTACAGGAGCTACGTGTACGCTGTTCCTTGTCTCCCGATGACCAGCACTTCTACTTCCCCGACCTGGCCCAGGAGCTGGCGGATTGCGGCCTGCTCGTCTTGCGCCGGCTTGTCCTTGTACGTCCTCCGAATGATGCTTGCACAGGCCAATCTGCCGGCTGCGTGTTGCAGCGAAGAACTATTCGAGGCGTATTCCCATCGTCTGTCGACGTGGTTTGCAAGTCGTGTCACACACCGGGATTCTAGATTCTAGTTGAATGGCTGCAATATGTCTTACGACGCATCAATGTAGCGTTACCCCATTCTAGCCCGGAGCTGAACTGTTACGTGCTCAAAATCCCAGCTCCACGAATTTGTGTTTAATCTCTGAAATGTTCTAAAATTTGTGTGTCTTTTTTTTAAATTCTAATGTACTTGTCTAGTTTAGTCAATTAAACTTCTGGCAGAAGTAAGTATTACAAATTTTGCCTTGTCGGCCGGATTTTTTTAATTTATAGTCACGCTTTCTGTTTCTGTCGCCCCAGCGAGCCGACGGAGGCAGACGTTGACGTGTCCAGTTCCACACCCACACCCCTCGGTCATACTGTACACCAGGGGTCTCAAACTCGAGCTATCCGCCGAGCCGCACCTGCATAGGTCACGTGCATTACAAGCTTTTCGGCAAGAAGAGTGAGAGAGATAGATGTAGTGGTGCCTCAGCGACTGACCCGTGCCCGGCCGCCCTGCTGTCGCCGCCGGCTGGCTTAGACGACGATGGCTGGGTCCAGCTCATCTTCGAGCAACCCGAGCGCGGCTCTCGGGTGCTCGGATCCACCCGAACGCAAGAGGTACGCGGCTCTCGGCGAGCCGCACTTGGCTCGCGAGCCGCGAGTTTGAGACCCGTGCGTACACTGTCTGTTGTAAAACTTAATTAAGCAGGGTACATGCCAGGTGGCTGATTCAAGCATGCGCTGTACCGCATGCACGAGTGCGGGCGGGTTGCACCCTGCACACTCGCTCGGCTCCTAAGGCGCCGTGGACAG